AAAAAAAACCAAAAAAAAAAAAAAAAAAAAATGTTACCCACCCAAAAAGAAAAAAAGAAAAAAAATGTTTTGTTGAAAATCTTCACAAGTAAAGAATAGCTCACATTTGAAAATTATGCTTGATATAGAAGATTATAGTTAGAAATCAAGTACGAAAAAACTATAAATTTGAAATTCAAAGTCAAGAACATGATTGGAAGACAAACTTGGAATAATCAAATGATCTACGTACCCAAAGCAAATGATTTTGCAAGTTAATATTATTTTTTTGGGGAACAATGTATAAGAAGAGATTTAAAATATTAACAGATCAAATCATCTAAATAGGATTTGTATTGGGTCTATGGTCCCGAACTGGAGTGTTCCGTCCTCTTGGTGGATTGGAGACAAAGCAGTTCCATTATTTAAAACAAATCTCATCCAATTATCTAATTATTGATATCCAATGAATCATTTAATATGTGTGTAATCTGCTTAATAACCCAACGAAATGAATAATTTCAATCACTAGATGATACCCAATAACTTATCAGGTTTAATTTTACGTAAATTGCTAGTAGGAGGACCTAAAGGAGGAGGAAGAACCAATGAAAGCGATGGTGCAGTGGCGGTGGCCTTATAAAAGGGGCGCAACTCATACCAGACAACACAACTTGGAAACCAAAATCTCAAACCTTGCCTTCCCAGACAACAACTAGCCAAATTTGAGATACCAGATCTAAGGCAATTATTGCAATCATAACTACAACGAGCCCGTACAGTGCTTGAAACGGTGTAAATTTGGCTTCTTTAGTTGCAAACTTCTTGCCATACCGACTATCCGAAGAAGAAGAGGAATCCCAAGTGACTATATCATCCATTACACCTCCCGTAACGTTTTGACCAATTCAACTTTTCTTGTTGTGGATCTGTACATTGATCAGAATATATGCACAAGTTAACAGTGAGGAATTAGACTTGGGTATGATATGTGTCAGATTTATTCAAGTTGAGATGGAAACAATAGCAGAGGAATGCATCAAGGTTAGATTTTGATCATGAATTAGGGATTTAAAAAGGAAAAGGAAAAATGTGAATAAAATATAAGCTAATTTTGTTTTTCTTCATTTCCCTTTTTCTTTTCAATTTTCAATCCAAATCTAAAATCTAGATAGAGGTGTAAATGGGTTTCTTTTCTTAGCATGCATTGCAATACTAGCCTACTAGGTCAGTTCCTCAATAATTTCGACTATAAATAATGTATATTCATTGAAATCGTGTTTTACTGTGAAACAAAATAAAATAGTAAAAAATATATTATAAAGAACTAGAGTTGTTCGAATGTGCCAAACCGAATAGTAAGTAGTCCAAGCTTTTGTTGGGCACAAATTCATAAATGAGTATCTTTTCTTCTCCTTCCAAACAAAATCCCAGTAGCCTCACTAGATTTCTATGTTGAAGCTTGGCCACTAATACAACTTCATTCTTGAACTGTACTGCACCTTGCCCCGAGTTTTGAGATAACCTCTTCACTGCTATCTCTTATCTGTTAGGAAGTATACCCTGAGAATATATGACATTTTCTAAATTTTGGATCCAAAATTTTAAAACTTATAATTTTTCAACTTTTTTACTTTAGAAAATGTTTTACACAAATGAATTTTTACCACTAGACATAAAACTATTGAGGCTTATTGGTTTATGGTAAGAAATAGTTGCGGAACCTATTACTTTGTATCTACTATAAGAAAAGACGGTAAAAAAATTGTTTATGTAGAATAATATTATTGTATTTTATGTCGTTGAAATCATATACAAGTACAAATGACATCTAACCTTGTAGACATGTCCAAATCCACCTTGACCAATTTTGTTTTGGTCAGAAAAGTTGTTTGTGGCAGATTGAATTGTACACAAATCATATTGCAAGGATTGTTCCGTTGTAATTTCATTCCCAACTGGACAAATCAAAAGGTAAATGTAATGGATTTGTTGATTTATTAGTAGAAGAATAAATGGTTAAAACAAAAAAAGAATTTTTTTTTCTTTACCATTATCCTCTGCAATGGAACCATATTTCTTCTTTGTTTTCCTACTTTGGAAGGACAAGCATACAACAAAAAGCAAAACAGAGACTCCAATTGGGACAATGATGGCAATGAGTACTTGTGATAAGATTCGACCCTTTCCTGCATCAACAAGAAAAATAGAAATGTTTTTGTTGAAAGTGTTCACAAGTAAAGAATAGCTCACATGTGAAAATTATGGTTGATTTAGCAGATTATAGTTAAAAATCAAGCACGAAAAACTATAAATTTGAAATTCAAAGTCAAGAACATGATTGGAAGACAAACTTGGAATAAACAACTGATCTACGTACCCAAAACAAATGATCTTGCAATTTATTATTACGTTTTTGATGAACAATGTAAAGAGATTTAAAATATTAACATATCAAATCATCTAAATAGCACTTGTATTGGGTCTGTGGGCCGAACTGGAATGTTCGGTCAAGGCTGGCCTTACCCTTAGGCCATATAGGCATCTGCCTTAGGCCTCACCCTTATGAGAGGCCCCATAATTTATGTGTGCATTTACCGACTTCAGGTATACAAAGGCCTCGTTTGGGAACAGGCTAATTTAGTAACTTTTTAGTCATTTGGATAAAATATGAGCTAAAAAAAACTAATATGTTTGGGATGACTTTTTGACTTTTTACGAAAAGATGTGCAAAAAGTAGAGAGAAAAGAAAATCTTTGACTTTTTAGTATAGCTTGTTGACTTTTTGGCTAATTTAGTAACTTTTTAACTTTTTGACTAAAATGAAGGGTTCCCAAACGAGGCCAAAGCCCTCATATGTGGTAATAAAAGTCCTTACTGCTTTTATATATAAGCCTTAGCATAATTCTTTCAATTTTCTATGTTTCAGTCTCTATTAAGGATATAAGCAGGTTTGGTTTAGTTCAACTATAGTTAAAGAAAATTTATCATTAAACTGAATCCTTCAATTTTATTAATTAAGGAACCAAAAAAAATTACATGCTATGGTTCAGTTTTATTGATTTTTAATTTAGTGTAAATAAGGGACTCAGAAGAAATTTTAAGATTGTGTTTGTATCATAGATTTTGGTAGGGATTTAAATAGAAAAGAAAAAAAATAAGTTCTATATGAATAAAATATAAGATAATATTTTTTTTCTATTTTTCTTTTTCTTTTCAAATTTTTACTCAAATTTATAATCCAAACATAGCGGCAGAGTTTTGTAAGAAACTAGAAAATTACACATCAGAAGTAAATAAAATAAAATAAAAAATTGTAGGAATACTCTATAAATGTCTCCCATTCTAGTCATTTATCTTCTTATATATATATATATATATATGATTTGTGTAAAAAAATACAGTTTGATGAAAATTATTAATGACAAGACAATGCAATCTACTGAAAACTCTTTTAAAATTAATTATTCACACACACGTATATATACATATAATAGATCTAATTATTTCTTCAAATGAGCGTAAGTTTGAACAATTTTAAAAAATATGAGATCATTTTACATCACAAAAACAAGAAAAATAATTTTACATGAAAATAAAATATTGAAAATTATTATTAAATTTAAATATTAAAAGGCCTCAATTTAAAATTTTACCTGAGGCCCCCTAAAGGGTTGGACCGCCCGTGTTCGATCTTTTTGGTGGACTGGAGACAAAGTAGTTTCCATTATTTAAATCAAATCTCATTCCAATTATCTAATTATTGATATCCAATGAATCATTTAATATGCGTGTAATCTACTCAATAATCTTACAAAATGAATAGTTTTGATTAGTAGATGACGCCCAATAACATATAGGGTTTAATTTTACCTAAATTGCTTGTAGAAGGACCTAGATGAGAAGGAGGAAGAACCGGTGAAAGCGGTGGTGGAATGGCGGTGGCGTTATAGAAGGGCGCAACTCATACCAGACAACACAACTTGATACCAAAACTTTAACAATAATGCTAGGTATCATGAAAAGTCTTCATGAAGATTCTCCACCCTTGGATTAATTTATAGTGTTTGTAGTGTTTTATTGTATGTTATGCAATCACCTTTGAATTAGTTTCATGAAATTTTTCATGATATTTATTTTTCCCATACAACAACTAGCCAAATTTGAGATACCATATCCAGGGCAATTATTGCAATCATAACTAGATAGGTTCGGCATGCACTGTACGAGCCCATACACTGTTTGAAGCGGTGTAAATTTAGCTTCCTTAGTTGCAAACTTCTTGCCCTACCGACTATCCGAAGAAGAAGAGGAAGCCCGAGTAACTATATCATCCATTACACTTCCCAAGACTTCTACGAATCGGTTGAATTCTGTTACATTTTGCATATTAACCAAACTAAGTGCAATTGTCTGATCCGCATAGCAGAAGATAGATCGGTTCGAGTATCGCAATATGCACTTTTCATACCAAATCGTGGCAACCTTCGAATTGGGACGCTTTTGGACTACTTTAGTAGCAGTAGAGACGCAGGCTTGACAGGCGGCGGTGGAAACATCACCACGGCAGAGGAAGAGGCCGTAGGCTATGTCAGGGGGGTTGAGGCCGGCGATGAAGTTGGAGAAGCCATTGGTGGTGGTAGTGGAATTAGAGGAGAGAACAGATAAGAGGGTTTTGAGGTTGGTTTGGTATGTGCTGTTGGGATTGTAAGTTGTTGTGTTTGGGCAGACATATAACAGAGAATCCGAGCTAACTTTGGTGCTGCTGAGGATGAGAAAGAAAACAAAGGAAAGAAAAAAAAGGCTTATGGGGATGTTGAAGGAAGGGATCATCATGGTGACCAAACTCTTCCTCCATGTTAATATATTTTATGTTAGTGCTTTAGGCTTTAGATTAGTGCCTTTACTTTCGGTTAGTGGATCCACTTTTGGCATGATGATGTTTGTAATTTTCTCTCCTATATAACGGAGAATGTACCTCTTTATTCATATAACATTCAATACATAAATAAATCAATACATAATTCATTCTCTCTGTATCTCTCTCTATCAATTTATCTTACATGGTATCAGAGCTATAAGATTTAGGCCTATATTTCTTTCTCACCGGCAGGCAGTCGGCCGGCAACCTTGCCTTCACTGCCCGCTGGAGTTTTCTACACATACCTTCACTCCGCTGCATCTTCAACTCTCTCTCTGTGTATTGAAATTCAGGGAGAAAGACAGACACACACACATGGGCTAGTCTCTCAGTTCTCTCTTGGTGTTCGAACTCGCCTCAAGTCCCTCGCTTTGCAGAGACTCCGATCCTCACCACCACCCATAGAAGCCATAGCAGTAAGCAACTCACACCAGTCCTCTTCTCGGCCATCACACACACAGACGGAGAACCACTGTTGCTCCACCGTCGTCAACCGCTGTGAACCACCGTGGACCACCATTGCCTGCCTTACCTCCATCATCACATTTATCATCTTCTCGCTGACCCGGTCTTTCCAACTGCAACTTCCAGTGACCCAACCTCCCAAACCTCAACTTCCAGCGACCCAATCAAACCTACCATTTCCAGCTGCGACCTCCAGATCTTTGCTTTCTAAGATGGGATGCTATTTCTCAACAATTGCAGCAAGCTATCGGCTTTTGTCCAGCGAGCTACTTTCAGGCGAGTTATCGGCTCTGTGAACCACCCTGCATGTGTTGCCATGAACCACGTCCCTGCAGCTACATATCGAACTACAAGACCCCAACTTCGCATACCCACCAGAGGTCTTTGATGGGTCGTGAACTTTTGATTGTTCCATCTGCTTGCAGCTCAGCAAGTTCTTGATTTGGTCCCATGAGGATGGTTGATTTTTATAATGCTTTCGCTTTGGCTTGGAGATTTTTATAATGATTTTTATAATCTCGAAGTTCTCTCTCTCTCTATCCAACCCACCAACTTAGCCGCTTTTGTCCCCCACACCATAATTGTTTTCACCACCCACCACCCCCACTCAACTTTCTTTTACTTTAAATATATATATATATATATATATATTTATTTTGTGTGTTCCCACTCCCTTCCATTTTCTTTTATTTTCTATCTATATATTTTTTTTTATTTACCTCCACATCCCAACACACACGCACATGCATAAAGAGACCCATTTTATTTTTTTATTATTCAAACAACACCACTTTCACACCACACCGTCATCCCACTATCCCTTTTATTTATTTTATTTTATCTTCTTTTTTTTTGTACAAATACAAAACAAAAAAAAAAAAAAAAAAAACAATTCACATGGTGAATGGAAGCCACTATGAGGCAAATGGCAACAATTACAAACTCAATATTTAGTTTTTCAATTATTTTCTTTAATTTTTGTTATGTATTAGATTATTGATACAAAACAACAAGCGGGGGAGGGTCAAACATCAGGTGTAAACCATCACATTCAGGTAATTTCCTACTTAGAAATAGGACTATTTTTTTAGGACAGAGAAGATTCATTGCTAGGGTTTCCAGGTGAAGACAAGTTTCATTTTGGCATCCTTGAGAACGAGTAGGGTCCCAATACATGGAAAACAAAAATGCACAACCAACCACATACTACGTGTCAAGTTTCTATTTAGTGAGCCAATGTCATCAAAGTTTAAATCTCCATTGAGTAAAAAGGGCGACCTAGTGTACGAGGGCAAAATATACACAGCCCTGTGTAAGTTTAGATACCAGCTCCAAATAAATATATGGATTTTTTGCTCCACCGGCTGCATCGGAAAGTTCAACGGAGCAAACTCAGCGGTGTTTGGTTGAGGTTCACTGGCCACCGCACCAGTTCTCTCTCTTGTTGCCTCATTGAGGTTGGGAAAGAGAGTGAGCAGCCCACGGGAAGACGAAGCCATTTTCTGGGCAACAGAGTGTTACAGCGTATTACAGAGTTTCTCTCTCAGCAAAGGAAGAGTTTTTTTCAGAGGTTTCTCTCAGTTTTTTTTTTTTTTTATCTCAGTTTCTGCCTCAGCCTCAGCCTTCGTCTTGATTAAATAGCCAAGGCAGACACGCGCCTCGTGCGCCACTTGACGCCAAACGACAAACGGGCGCGCCAGCCAAGGCACTCACGTGCCTCGCCATCATGTATGGCACGCCTTTTGAAAGATTGGGCACACCTTTTGAGGGCACGACTTTTGAGAGCTCGATA